GCTCTTGCTCAGGCTGGTTTCGAACTCCTGAGCTCAAACAATCCGCCCGCCTCGGCCTCCCAGAGTGCTAGGATTACAGGCGTGAGCCACCGCCCGCGGCCGTCAAGACAGTTTTGAAAAAGAACAGTGGGGTGGCTGGGGTGGACTTGTTCTGGCCATATCAAAATGCTGAATAAAGTGAAAAAATTAAAAATGGGGGACCGCACAGGAACAGACAGGAGACCAATAATGCAAAATAGTCTAGAAAGGGGCAAATGAAATCACAGATAAGTAGCGAAGAGGCTGGACCATTAATAAATATTAGCAAATATGAGGAAAATGGGTTATATATCTAGAAAATAATAAAGCCAGATCCTTACCTCATGCCTTGTATGAAGATTTAAACATAAAAAACAAAAATGCAATGTCCTAAAACTATAAAAGAATAAAGGTGCTTTTATAATATTAGACTGGGAAAAACAGGCAACTGCAAAGGAAAAGATTGACAGATTTGACTTCATAAGAATTAAAAATTTCTCACTAGGGAAAAAATATAAGCGACGTTTAGAGGTCACTTGACACTGAAGGGGAAGAACACATAACAAACTGGGTTGAATTCTTAAAGGGCTGCACCGAGTCACTGAGAAAAACACAAGCAGTCAGGAAAAGACTGAGCAAAGGTGATGAATAGGCAGTTCATGGGGAAAAAAACCAAATGGCTAATAAGGATGTTCAACTGCACTTTAAATCAGGGAAATGCAATTTAAAGCAATTAGGTACTATTTTCACCAACTGGACTGGCAAAAATTAGACTAATTCTATCCAGTGTTGGCCAGCATAGGGGGAGTGTAAATCGATCCAGCATTCTAGATGGGCCGATTGTAAATGTGTTTGTCCCTCAGCTCAGCAGCCCCACTTGAGCGCTCAGCACACAGAAATGCCCACACAGGACTGCACGATGGTCATTGCAATATTATATGTGATATTGAGGAATTGGGGATGAAATCCATATTTTGCAATGGTTGAAGTATAGTACATCATATTTTAGAATACGGTGTGGCCATGAAAAAGAATATAGTGTCTGTATGTAATGACATGGAGATATGCGTTGGATGTATCTTTAAGGCAAAGCAAGTTTCAGAACAGTGAGTATAGCAGGAGCCTATTTTCCTTTTTTTTTTTTTAGGTCTATGTATACAGGAAAGGAGTCGGGAGGACACACATACACCAAGCTGTTGACAGCAGGGAACAGGGGAGTG